ATAAGACGAAGCGGATGGTTATTCCAGATGCTCTCAAGTGAGTTTCAAACACCGGTTTGCTACTTTATTTTTTGGTGGAATTTAGATTTTGTTGCTTCAATGACATAGTTATGTTCTATGTTTTTGTTGCTCTTCTGGTTTTTAAATTAGGGTTTTGAGGCTTCAGAAAGGACACAAGTACTGCTTGTTGGGCAAGCTCTCATCCGAGGTTGGGTGGAACCACTATGACACTATCAAGGTGAAGATTGGTTACCCTGTTCGAGTTTTCAAATACAACTCATGTTTCATTGCTCTCTTCTTGACCCTTTGGAATTGTTTATGTGTGTGGATACATGCATTATTTAGTTCAATGCCTTGCTTGTTTTTTGTTTAAAATTTATCAGTACTTGCATTACTATAAGTTAAAACCTTACTTGCTGAACAATTTTATCTGTGGATCAACGTACTCGTAATATTTACTGCGGTCTCGTGTGGAACAATATAGTTTTAGTGCCTAGTAAAACTCCATAAAGTTTATTATGAAAATAAAATCTTTCATCAAGGACAAAGAATTGAAGAAGCATAACTTTACATGTTTTGTACTCTCAAAGAGTATTGTTTTGTGCTCCGGTATGAAATGTGTTTTAACTTTCGGCTGCTCGATTCTTCCAGGAACTCGAGAGGAAGAGGAAGGAGAGAGCTCAAGTAGCATATGAGAGAAGGAAGCAACTTACTAAACTTAGGGTTAAAGCTGAGAAGGTTGCTGAGGAGAAGCTTGGTGCCCAATTGGAAGTCATTGCTCCGATCAAATACTGATTCGAGGGCATTTCGATATATCGTCCTCTTCAGAAGCTCGATCACTCATAATTTTATTATCGCAATCGTTTCAAGTAGATGTTATGCCATATACCTTCGTATGTTCCTTTTTGGATGTTTAATGTTTTCAGGGTTTGATCTTGATCACTGGTCTACTGGTTTACCATTTGAGAAAAGGAACTATTCTCCTTTCGCCGTTTTGCAAATACCCTTTATTAAAGTTTGGTCATGACTGGCGAGTAAAACTTGACCCGGCTCGAAAAATATATTTTTTCTGAAATTTGAGATTATTGACCCAAATTGTTAAATTATTTGGTTTTTTAAGTTCGAGTCGGGTTAAATTTTGTAATTTTACCAAATGACATACATTTTACCAATTGACCAAACAGTTGTGGGTGTTCCTTTTACTATAAAATGCTATTGGTTCACTTGTTTAGTTTAAAAAAGCATTTAAAATTAGTTTTTTAATTGTTTATATAAAATAATTAAAATTTATTATTCGAGGATTGAGTCTAAGAGTAAAGGATTTGTATATAGTTTTTTTTACATTCAATTTATAATTATTTATATATTAGTAAACAATCTTTTATTTTTGGGATATTTTAGTTTCAATATTTTAAATTTCAATCAAGATAGATCTTATCGAATATAAATTATAAATTGATTAACAATTAACATATATTAATGTTATATTTTTATTTGTTTAATATAGTGATATGATATATATTATATAATCATTTTGAATGATGTGACATATCATATCATCACTTTGAGTGATGAGGCATATATTATAATGTTATTTCAGATGATGTGATATATGTTATGTTATTACTTTAACTTACATAACATGTCACGTTATCTAATAAGATTAATAACCAAAAATTTAAATATCGTAAATTAAAATATTTAAGAAAAGTTATCTTTTATAAAAGTAATTTTGCCATTATGCTTTTGGACATAATCTTTCCAAGTAGATGTTATGCTATACACCTTCGTATGCCACTGGGTATTCTTTTCTCTTTTGCTCGAGGACACTTTCATTATTTTAGTTTAAAATGCTAGGGATTTGATCTTTATTACAATAATCGAGAGTTCACTTAACTTATTAATTTAATAATATATTTAATATTTGATTAAATCATTAATTTAGTTTTCTTTTGAATATTTTAATTCATAACGATTTATTTTGGGACAAAACAATTCATAATAAGATAGAAATCGATTAATAATCAATATTTTTTCCTAATGATCAATATCATATTAATATATATATATATATATATATATATATATATAATAGCATAACACATGACACGATATCATTTTAGACACATACATCTTATTATTATTTTAGACACACATATCTATATTTCCAAACAAAGTAACATATATATTAAAAACAGAGATTGCAAGTTTTCAAACTAAAAACATAGGATAAATTACGTATTTATTATTTAAACTATCAGTTTTGATCCGTTTTAATACTTAAACTTCAATTTTTTCAAAACCATACATAAAACTTCAGTTTTTGTTTCATTTTAGTACCCGTTCAAAATTTTAACGTCAAGTTTTGAAAAAATTGAAGTTTAGGTACTAAAATAGACCAAAATTAATAATTTAGGTACTAAACATGTTAAATTTTTAATGGCGGGATACTAAAATAAAATGAAAACTAAATGTTATTTATGATTTTCAAAAAATTAAAAGTTTAGGTACTAAAATGAACCTAAAATTGATAGTTTAAGTACTAATGCGTAATTTACCCTGAAAAATATTAAAGAAAATCACTTAAATAGGGAAGTCAATTTTAATAAAAGGAAACCCTAGAATAACATGCAAGTTATGGTGAGCTAACGTAAACTTATAGCACGATGTGAGATCATATATGTTGGGAAAAAATATTAAATAAATAAAATAAAGGGCAGATAGAAATTGTTGGGTCGAAAAAGTTGGACTTTATTCATATATATTTAGTTATAGTAGTTGAGAAAATTGAGAGAATAATTGTTGATGGTAGGTGAAATTATGACATATTAGACTAGAAAAAATATAAAAATATATAAATAGCCAATATAAATAAATATATATATATATATATATATTATATATATATATATATATATATATATATATATATATATAATATATATATATATAACTCTTTTAGTTTTATACAGATTTAGGACGGTTGGATGAGTGAAAATAAATGACTGAGATTAAATGTAAGAAATGTGAAGATATTTAACTGGGAAAAAATAAGGAGTCAATCTCAGTCATTTGTTTTCACTCATCCAACGGTCTTAAGTCTATGTAAAACTCAAGAGTTTATATATATATGAGTTAATTGCACGCTATATTTTTAAACCATGAGTCCATGACCCTTATTTTAAGTTGAATTTTAGATCTTTCAATATTTTATTTTCATCTTCAAACTATAACTCTCATTATAATTTGATCTCTAGACTTTTAAATGTTCCTATAACATCCCCAAAATAATCTATAAATTTGGTGATAAAATTGGAATATTTACAAGTTCAGGGACTAATATAGAACGATGGTCGTGATTCAGGGATGAATTTAGAAAATTTGAAGGTTTAAGGAATAATTTAAAACGAGAATAAGAATTTAAGGATACAATTGAAATGTTCAAAAGTTTACAGACTAATTTAACATGATAGTATCGTTTAAAGATGAGTATCTCAATTAACTTATTTTTTTCCATTTTATTCATGGATTGAAATAATGGGAAGTAAATATTATTAATTTGTTTTCCTTATATACATGCACAACATTCTCCAAGATTGATTAAAAAATAAAATTAAAGTTAATATAAAATATATCTTATTTAATTTACCCTCTTCTAGCTCCTTGTTTTATTACATTTTCCTTAATTACCTCTTTCCCCTATTTTTGGTAATATTTCTAATCACTCAATTTTCTTCTCAGTCCTAATTTGATCATTAAAGTTCAAATATTTTCAATTTACTCATTTTTACTTATATTTTGGTCACTCAGTGTTTTATCATAAATGGAAGGATGACATGGAAGCCACATGCATTATCCGTGTTATTTTCTTTTTCTTTTCATTTTTTAAAATTTTATCAGTTTCCTTCAAAGATGACAGTTTTACAATTTCATCCATATGTAATGTCGGTTCTGCAATTACCATTCTTCGGAGTCTTCTCCAACCACTTAAGATATCAAAGAACTTGTCTCATTGCCTGCTACCACTCTATCAATTTATATTGCTTAAATCAATCTAAAAAATCATAAAATTCATTTCTAAACCCGAAACTTATGAAACCCTAAATCACTCTAATATGTAATATCTACCATCTTATCAACATTAAATCAAGATATAAAACTCGCTTCCTCATTCTGCACCTCTCGACTTTGAGATTTGGAAGAATATGGTCTATCATTGAAAAATCAAAGGGAATTCAAAACTAGAGGGTTTTTTTCACAAAAACGAGAAAATTTCAGGGGTCATTTCATAATTTTTAAAAGAGAAAAATCCAATCATAATATTGTTAAGTATTTAATGGTAGAGTGAACAAAATAAAAGTAAATCAATAGTTCAATGAGTAAATTAAAAATTATTAAACTTTAGTCACCAAAATGGGAATGAGAACAAAGTTGAGTGATCAAAATGTACAATTTATCCTAAAAAGAATTAACATATCGTTATGAAATATACAATCGTATTATTTAAAATTAGGGTAAATTGACGTTTAGTACATAAATTATCAGTTTTGGTCAATTTTAGTACCTAAATTTTCATTTTATTCAAAATCATTCCTATAGTTTCTGTTTTATTTTAGTACCCGTTCAAAATTTAACGTTAAATTTTGGGGGGAAATTCGACAGTTTAGGTATTAAAACGGACCAAAACTGATAGGTTAAGTACTAAACACATTAAAATTTTAATGGCAGAATACTAAAATGAAACAAAAACTAAATTTTAGGTACAATTTTTTTTGGAAGTTTAGGTAATAAAACGGATCAAAACTGATATTTTATGTACTATATGTGTAGTTTACCCTTAAAATCATATTAAAATATTAGAATAAATTTTAATTTCTCACCAAAACAAAAGCAAGAAAAAAAATTAAGACAGAAGTGAAGGGAACAAAATCGTATGCAAAGTAATTACTGATATATTTCCATAAGAACAACAAAAACTTGTCTTTTCGGTTACCCTCCAATCAATCATCAGTTTTTCTCCTTCAAAATCATTTCTGATCTTCACTGCTTCTTCCATTTCTTCTCCACCATCAATTTTCTTCTCTCTTTAATCTGTGTTTTCTTTTCACAATAACTAAAGCTTGAAGAAGATGAAACTGGTCCACTGCTTCTCCACTCTACTCGTTACTCTCTTACTGAGTTTTGATCAGATATCGGCGAAATGCAAAACGGTGACGGTTGATCAATCCGGCCGTGGAGATTTTTCCACTATTCAATCTGCTATAAACTCGGTTCCATCGAACAATGAGTTCTGGTATTGCATCAATGTTCGTCCTGGTACTTACAGGTAAATATAACATTCATAACACATACAAAGTATATGCATGTATGCATGTTTATGTTTATGTGTATGTATGTATGTATGTATGTATGTATGTATATACTATATAGGGAGAAGGTGAAAATCCCAGATGATAAGCCATACATCGTCCTCAAAGGTTCAGGCCAAAGGAAAACCATGGTGGTCTGGAATGAACCCTATCTGCAATCCCCAACTTTCAGTTCTTCAGCTGATAACACCATTGTCAAGTCCATGAGTTTCGTGGTAAGCAAGTTATTGTCACTTTCGTTTTTCCACAGATTTTGAATGGTTTGATGTTCTTTATCTTGTGTGAAAATGGATAGAATTCATACAACGGTCCGAACAGCAAAAACAGTAGGGTTCCGGCCGTGGCCGCCATGGTTGACGGCGACAAGAGTTTCTTTTTCCGGTGCGGATTTTCGGGTGTTCAAGATACTTTGTGGGATGCTAACGGCCGTCATTACTTCAAGAAATGCCACATCGAAGGTGCCGTGGACTTCATTTTCGGTAACGCCCAATCTCTCTATGAGGTAATCTTATAAGAGTTATCGTGTGACATTTAAATCATGTGTTCGACCCTATCATGCGAACACAAGTGTTATTGATTATGTCCTTTATAGGATTGTTCTATACGTTTTCTCGGGGAGATGTTGGAGCCAGGGCTTGCCGGTTTCATCACGGCGCAAGGGAGAAACAACCCGTACGAGTCGAATGGATTCGTTTTCAAGAACTGTGACATCTACGGTAAAGGGACGACCTTCTTAGGAAGACCCTGGAGAGATTTCTCCAGGGTCCTTTTTTATAATTGTAAATTTTCCGATGTCGTCCACCCTAGTGGTTGGGATGCTTGGAACTGCGTCGGCAAAGAGTATGTATCGATTTCTTTCGTGTAACGTTAGAATTCGAATCCCAAACATTATAACATTAAAATTTGTGGTATTTTTGGTGTAGGGAACACTTGACTTTTGCCGAGTACAAAAACTACGGACCCGGGGCAGACACATCCAAGAGGGTGAAGTGGGTGAAGAAGCTCGACGCCGGAACGGTGGTGAAGCTAACCAGTATGTCATTCGTCGACGACGACGGGTGGTTCCAAAGCATGCCTACTTAGTGTTTTTAGAGTTTCTTTTGTGATGGATTATTTTTCATTGTTTCTCTCATTAAAACTGTACGGCCATCTTTTGTAATATCACGACTTTGTAGTATCTTCACTTGATTCTCTCTTTCTATTTTAAAATCGTTTACCTAATGCTTCGTTTTACGTAATTCTTCGTTGGGATTTGAAAAAAATATAGTGTTGGTATGATATATTTTTAAATAATATTTGTTATATCTTCGGAGATATATTTCGGAAATTTCTCAACCTCTACCGTATCGTCTCTTTGAACAAATTTTGGGTTAAACTACTTTATGACATTCCATCGATTAAGAGGAACAAATATTATATCATTGGATTAAGGGAAACAAATAATCTTGGGTTAAGCTACTTGATGACATTCTCTTGTTTGTACAAGACGATTCGTTGGTTATCGCATATATGTGTTATATGAGATTGTTGTTAAGGGAGATTACTTTTTCCGTTAGCCATTTTGGTTCTTCTTCAAGTTTCTCTTCTCCGTGTTTTAATGCTCGAAGCCGTTGGCGTGTTCAGTTTATGTACGTCATTGCTCCACTTGTTAATGGTTTTGTTTATCAGGCTATCACTAAGCGATCATTGTTATATTTTATTTTCGATAGTCTTAACTGTATTTGTTCAATCTGTAATTGACAAGACGTTTGTTGATACGACTTTCGATAAATGAAATATCCTTATTATTTTTAAAAAAAAAAGATCACAATCAAATAATCTCATAAAATTTGATTGTATAAATTGAAAAATAATATTCTAATTAAGATGTTTTCAATTTTAAAGACTTATTTAATTATAAGCTTTCTAAAAAATAGTTCAATTGAAAAATATTTAACTTAATAACTTAATTACCATCTAATAATTTGTTATATAAGCCTATATACAAAAGATGTCCCCGTCAATCAACGGGATTGGTCAAATTGTAAGTAGCTTGATATTGCTTAAGTAATATCTCATATTCGAGTTCTTGCGTATGTAGAAAATTATTGTTGGAAGACTCACTCACTAAAACTAAATGTATAACTCGGATTAATTTAAATTAATCGGGACGAAACTTTAAAACCGAGGAAAAAAAAATTGGCTATCAACATTCATGTTTTTTTAATCAACTTTCCAATAAAGGTGGTGGAGGTTGGACATACCTAATCAACCCTACGATCCATTGTTTTACAACTAATCATAATAAAAACAAATCATTTATATATTATTTTATAAGTGTTACCCAAATAAGCTATGATTAATTTGAGAAATTTTACTACCTAATTGTTCTATTTACTTCTGAAAAAAAACATAAAATATCAGACTCTAATCATGAGTTAAATTTTTGTATTTAAAATATTATATATTTTTATATACTAAAAATCAATGCATATATGGATCAATCTATTATTAGGGTCCACTTTAATTATTATTTTATTAAATTAAAGTAATTATAAATTAGAATGTTTAATCTTAATGTTATAATCGTTGGTGTTCGAATTCATAAACTCTAAAACATAATAATAATTTTATTAACTATTAAAATAAATTGGTTCGTGTAAGTCCACTCCTATTAAAATAAATAATAAGGAATAGGGGTGTAAACGAGCCGAGTCGAGCTCGAGTATTATTGAGCTTGACTCGACTCGAAAACTCTGAAATGGAGCTCGACTCGACTCGAAAACTCGCGAGCTTAAAATTTTCAAGCTCGACTCGAACTCAAAATCCTGAACTGAAGCTCGTGAGCACCTCGAAAATGCTCGAAATGAAAAAAAAAATTCTTATACTTAACTCAATTAAAGCCTCAAACTCGAACTCGAACCTTAAATATATGAAAATTTTACTGTTTTTTAAAAAATAATATATAAATGTTAATATTATTAATAATTTATTTTTAAAAACTAAAAGCTTAATATATTATATTTTCGAGCTGCTCACGAACTTTTTGAGTCGAATATCAAGTAGATTTTTTTGGCTCGTTAAGAACTCGAGTTGAGCTCGAATCGAGCCCATTCAATCCGAGTATTTATCAAACATTGATCAAATTAATATCGAATAACTCGTTATCTGTCTCATCTCATTTAAAGCCCTAATAAGAAAAAGGGAAAACTGTTGTAGGAGAGAGATGTTTCTTACAAGTTACAACTTTTTACCAACTTGGGGGCAGTTTGGACTGTCCCTAGAAAAAGAAGGGAATAAACAAATCAGCTTCAATTTTTTTTAATTTTACCACTAATATTTTATTTATTGAATAAATATTTTAGATCGAGTTTTATAAAAATTTACTCTCTCTGGCCAATTAAAAGTATTCATTATTAACTTTTAAAAAGTCAAAATTTTAAATTTTGACTACGATTATTTTAAATATTTTAAATAATTAAATTTTATAAAATATATATTTAAAAGCTACTTGACTTAAAGTTTTTAAAAATATATTTTTCATATTTTTATCAATAATAGAATTTAAATAATAATGAGTCAAAATTAAATAAATTTGATTAAAAAAAGTCAACATTAGACATATTTAGTGGGAACGGAGGGAGTATTATATAATTCACCATTTTAACTTAATTTTCTCTATTCGTAAACATAGAGATTCAAGCTCCTAATTTTACTTAAAGGATCTAGGGTCTCATCCCACTAATCCACTTAATTATTGGTTCAAATGTTTTTAAGCGTAAATTACAAATTTCATCACTAAATTTTACTCTACCTCCTATTTTGTTTACATAACTTAATATAAGGGTGTTTTCGGTCACTCCGTCATTAAATAGATAATGGAGTTAAAACGACGTCATTTAAAAAAATTCACCAAAAATATATCGTTTTACGTCCTACATAAAAGCTCATTTATAATGTCGTTAGTAAGAAAACGACAGGTGACAAAAAAATACAACGCACTAAGTTCAGTAAGAAAATTGAAAAAAAAAATAAAATACAATAAATGAAATATGAGAGAGAATAAAATTCAATTACCAAATTTATAATTTACCCTTTTTTTTTAACTTCACAGCTTTATAATTTTCTTTTGGGATTAATATGTCATATTCTTTCATGATATGATATTTTTATTTTATTTTATGATATTCTTATCACGGATCACCGTGATAATTATTCACTTTATTTATCATGTATGTTAAAACATAAATGTAAAATTAGATAATTAAAAGATATTTTAGTACCACTTAAGTTTACTCAAATTCACAAATTTCATTTGTAAGGAGAGATGGACCTACAATTACAATGTTTCGTCTTAATTAATTTGAATTGACCCGGATCGTATATCTAGTTTTGATGAGTGAGTCTCTCAGTAGGAATATTCTATATACACAAGAACTCGAACCTAAAATCTTGCTTAAACGATATCAAGTTGCTTACCACTCGAACAAAACCCGTAAAATTTCAACTTCGACTAAACGAAAAATGGTGTTTTTGTATGGTATAACAATAATTGAAATCCCAAAAACTTACATATTCTATCGAATTAGTCCTAATTTAAAATATTTCATTAATCCTTAATATTTAAAAATTTTATTGTTTTGGTCCTCATTTTAATTTGAAATAGTTTAATAATTTATTTACTAATAAATTAATAATATAATAATTTGTTACTAATTTAATAATAATTCTTAAATATTGAGAATTTATTGAATGATTTTGAATTAAGATCAATTTGTTATAATGTGTACATTTTAGGACTAAAACTATTATTATATCATGTCACATTATTATTTTTGTTAAGTCGATAATCAAACTTAACGATAGAGTATCGAAATAAAAACAAAATATATTATTAGGTATACTTTTAACAAATAAGGGCTACAATAACTATTTAATAAAATGTTATGTTAGAGATATTTTTAATATTATGGCTTTAATTTAACGACGGTAATAGAAGTAAATTAACGGTTCAGTGATTCTTTTGTATGTTTTAAATGTTTCGTGATCATAGAGGAAGGTTTCTAGAAGTTTAGGAACCACTTTTATAATTTAGCCAAAAACAGAGAGCTGAAAGTGAAATACAGAGACACGACAAGACATCGCTGTCTTAATCTCTGCAATGCTTCTAAATTCACTCAATAATCTCTCTGTGTCAAATTTCGGGCTCCGTGCCCAACCGAAGAAAACCCGACTCTCATTTGCCCCCTATTTATCGTCGGCCCTGCATTTTCCATCACTTTCCCGGGGGAAAAAGGGGGAAACAGTTTAGAAGAAAATGTACTCTGGAATTCGGTCGTTACCGTTGGATGGAAGTGCGGGAGGGTCGTTTGATGCCACCAACTTGCCCGGCGATCCTTGTTTGGTCCTAACAACGGATCCGAGGCTCCGATGGAATGCTGAGCTACATGAACGCATCGTCGATGTTGTTGTTCAACTCGGCGGCCCTGACAGTGAGTTTTTATTTTCTGGGTTATTTAAATACTAAGCTTCTTTTCTCATTTGATGAGATAATAATGATATTTGGTTATTTATGTAGTTGGTTTTAATTTCTTATATCGTGTTTTGGTTTAATTTTGTGAATCAATTCTTGAGGAAAAGTGAAAGATTTAAGATTTTCGGTTTTTAATAACGTAGTTTAGATAACCGTGTTATAGATTATTTCGGAAGTCATGACGTGATTAAAAAATTCAGTTTTAGATTTTGATTATGAAATGTATATTTAAAATGATATTATATTCGATTTGGATTGACTTTAAGTTTGATTAAATGTTTATTCTTTTAAATTCGGTTTGCCTTTGATGATTTATAAAGTTATGAACAAAATGATGTTTAAGGAATTTTTTCAAAAAGAATCAAAGACTTGAGTTTATGAATTTTGATAGCACCATTTATACAATATTATTTGGGTTATTTCGGATACTGTGGTGCAATTAGAAGTTTCAGTTTTGACCTTTGATTGTTATTGAAATATTAAATTTGAATACTGATATTTATTTTGAGACGATTCAATTAAAGTAATAAGTCGTTAAAGTGACTTTCGTTATAGAAAATATATTTTTTTAAATATAAAATTTATGTACATGTAACTCAGGATATATTAGTATGGATCGACCCAAAGGAA